CATCCCCTCCATCCCAACGGGACCATCCCCTCCATCCCAGCAGGACCATGCCCTCCATCCCAACGGGACCATCCCCTCCATCCCAGCAGGACCATCCCCTCCATCCCAACGGGAACATCCCTGTCCCCATCCCAACGGGACCATCTCCCTTATCCCAATGGGACCATCTCCTCCATCCCAACAGGACCATCTCCCTCATCCCAACGGGACCATCCCCTCCATCCCAATGGGACCATTCCTGTCCCCATCCCAACTGGACCATCCCCTCCATCCCAATGGGACCATGCCCTCCATCCCAACGGGAACATCTCCCTCATCCCAATGGGACCATCCCCTCCATCCCAGCAGGACCATCCCCTCCATCCCAATGGGACCATCTCCCTCATCCCAACAGGAACATCCCTGTCCCCATTCCAATGGGAACATCCCCATCCCAACGGGACCATTCCTGTCCCCATCCCAACAGGACCACCCCCCCTCATCCCACCCCGCACTCACGTGGACAGGTCCAGCCACACCGCGATCTCCCGCGTGTCCAGCATGATCCCGATGGCCTCGAAGGTGATGGTCAGCTCTGCCTGCGGGCAGGGAGCGGCTCAGCCGGACCCCACCTGCTGAGCCCCCCAGGAAGGGCCGGGGGGCAGCTGGGGGGCCGCTCTCACCCTTTGGTTCCTCTTGAAGGGGTTTCCCAGCTCGCACAGCACCGTCTCCCCAAAGGTGCAGGCTCCGCTCTGGGGGGGGGCAAGAGGGTCAGGACCACCCTGGCCGAGCCCAGCTGGCCCCCAGTGGGGCTCAGGGGGTCCCCCCCGTACCGGGCGGACGGAGGAGGGCAGCAGGCTGGGGGGCACGGTGACGTTGAGCAGCGCCTCGTGGGCGTCCTCGCCGTTCCAAGGCGTGCTGGGGACGTTGGTGATGTTGATGCTCAGGTGCAGCTTCCGCACGTCCCGGCTGTACTGCAGCACCTGGGTCCCGTTCACCCTGCGCGGGGAGAGCGGGGTCAGGCGCTCCTGGGGGACAGGGACACCCCCATGGGGACAGGGACACCCCCGGGGGGACAGGGACACCCCCGGGGGGACATGGGACATGCGGGGCCCTGCGGCACCTGGGCAGCGCCTGGTTCTGTTCGGTGACGAAGCTGCTCCGGAGCTGGAGGTTGCTGTAGCACTGGTTGTCAGATCCACATTCCTTCTGGAACTCAATCTGCAGGGACAGGGACATCCCCTGAGTCCCTGTGACCCCCGGGACACCCCAGCGTGTCCCCCCACGGGGCACACCTTGGTCTCGTTCTCATGGGACTGGTCCTGGTTGAGGACGGGGAAGGCGTCCAGGGAGTGGGGGCCCAGCTGGAACGTTCTGGGCCTCTCCAGCAGCGAGTAGTTCATGGAGAGCACGATGGGGTGCAGCTTGTCCCGGACATTGTCCTGCGGGGGGGTGGGAATCACACAGAGATCCCTCCCTGGTACCCCAAACTCAGCCCCAGCCACAACTGGGGGGCTGCTGCCAGCCCAGGGAGAGAGCCCAGGGACTCGGCACAGGGATGGACGGACAGACGGACGGAGGGATGGATGGATGGATGGATGGATGATGGATGGATGATGGATGGATGATGGATGGATGGATGGATGGATGGATGGATGGATGGATGGATGGATGATGGATGACGGATGGATGGATGGATGGATGATGGATGGATGGATGATGGATGGATGGATGATGGATGGATGATGGATGGATGGATGATGGATGGATGGATGGATGATGGATGGATGGATGATGGATGGATGGATGATGGATGATGGATGGAGGATGGATGATGGATGGATGATGGATGATGGATGGATGGATGGATGGATGGATGGATGATGGATGGA